AAAGCACTGTTCCTTATAAGCAATTATGAAGAGTTTTGCAAAGAGAAGTAAAAAAAACAAAAACAAAAAAAACTGTAACAACAATCAACTCCTTAGAATGGCCAAATGTCCTGGCCTCTGGGTTACAGGATAAGAATTTAAGAATTATTCAGCTGCACCCAACACAGATGCCTTAGGAGAAAGGGTTTAAAGAATGTTATGAGAAGGTATCAAGGAACCCATCGAGCAGTCTCAGAAATTAAATATGTCATCAAACATTCCCAGCATTTTATAAGCTCCAATTACAGATCAGTCATCCTTGTATTTAACTCTTTCTTCACCTCATTTTGTATTTCAGCCTACATAATTTCTTAGGACACAGGGTTTCAAAACAGTACAACTAGGAGTTTAATGCCTTTTTTATGATCCTAGATATATTGATTTCAATCTTTAAGGAGTGCCCCTGGCTCTAATATTCTAGAATGTGGTGAATAATTCATGTGCCCTTTCTCTAATCACATTTACAGCCAAGCCTCTTGGAAGAACTGTCCGTGCACATTGGCTCCACTTCCTCACCTATCAGCCATTCTTTAGCCCACACTCATCTGGCTTCCACTCCCTTCACTCTACTTCAGTTTCTCTTAGTAAAGACCATTAAGGACGTTCATGCTGCTAAACTGAATAGATAACACTTAGTCATCGTGTTTCTCCATTTTGCAGCATTATTCAGCAAAGTCAATCAACCACTCTTTCCCCTGGAAATAACTCTCTTTAGCTCTGATAAATCTTCATTCTCTTGGGTGCTTCTCAACTCTCTGTCCCTGGTCAGTCTTTTTATTGACTGATTGATTGATTGATTGAGGTAGTCTCACTCTGCTGCCCCGGCTGGAGTGCAGTAGCACGGTCTTGGCTCACTGCAACCTCCGTCTCCTGTGTTCAAGGGATTCTCCTGCCTCATCCTCCAGGGTAGCCTCGAGTTTCACCACGTTGGCCAGGCTGGTCTCAAACTCCTGACCTCAAGTGATCCACCTGTCTCAGCCTCCCAAAGTGCTGGGATTACAGGTGTGAGCTACTGCGCCAGGCCTCTTGTCAATATTCTTCTACCTTACTTACAAATGTTAGATTACCTTTGAGTTTGTTCCTGAATCCCATCTAATCCCAACTATAAATATCATCTTTACGCTGATGTCTCACACTTTTACATCTCCAGCCCAGATGTTCCTTCTGAGTCTAAGACCAATATACCCAACTACCTATCCAATATCTCCACTTGGATGCTTCACACATTTATTAAATTTGATACATCCAAAACTGAAGTCTTGGATCTTTCTCTCACTGTTCCTCTTCCATTGTTTCCCATTCTCTAAAACCATCTACTGAGTTGCTTCTGCTAGAAACCCAGAAGTCCTTTACTCTCGCCACTCATATACAATCAATCACCAAATATTTTCATTTTGGTCTCCAAAATATATTCCCAATATCCCCATCTCTACCGCCATGCCCTGAGTCTAAGCCATCATCATCTCTTGCCTATAACACTGCAACAGCATTCTAAGTGATCTTTCTGAATCCCCTTATATTCCCCTCCAATTCCATCTTCACACCACAACCAGAGTGATCTTTCAAAGATGAAAACGCCTCTGTTTAAAACTGTTCGGTGACTTGTCACTGGTTTTATAATAATGTTCACAAGGCACCTGCCTACCTCTTCAGACAGGCTTATCTCAAGCTACCGTGGCCCTTGTTCTCTAAGCACCAGATTTACTAGCCTTCTCACTCTACATTACACATGCTGAGGTTTTTCAGGTATGTTGTGGCCTCTGTACATGTTGTGAGATCTTTTTTTTTTTTTTTTGAGACAGAGTCTTGCTCTGTCACTCAGGTTGGAGTGCAGTGCCACAATCTAAGCTCAGTGCAACCTCCACCTCCCAGGTTCAAGCAGTTCTCCTGCATCAGCCTCCTGAGTAGCTGGGACTACAGGTGTGCACTACTACACCTGGCTATTTTTGTATTTTTAGTAGAGACAGGGTTTTGTCATATTGGCCAGGCTGGTCTCAAACTCTTGACCTCAGGTGATTACAAGCATGAGCCACTGTACCCAGCTACCTGGGATCTTTATTCTCTTTAATTAATTCTTCTCCTGCCTACTGCTGCCCAAAATACACAAACACATCTGTGTGTGTGTGCATACGAGATGTACATGTCTGTGCATAATCCAAAATCTCAGGGTCCACATCCAATAGTGAAACCAGACCAATGGAACTGAATGACTGGCAACCTATGGTGTTAAAACATACCACTAGAACAAAATAATAATAAGAGCAAACCCTATATAATTTAACATAAATAGGCACTATTTTAGGTGATTGATATATATTAGCTTATTCAATGCTCAAAATAATCCTATGAGGTAGGTACAGGTACACCTCCCGTTACTGCACTTAGCTTTAGTGTAATTCACAGATATATTTTTTTTAATTGAAGGTTTGTGGCAACCCTACAACAATCAAGTCTCTCAAGGCCATTTTTCTAACAGCATGTTTTCATTTCATGTCTCTGTGTCACATTTTGGTAATTTTCACAATATTTCAAGCTTTTTCATTATTATATTTCATGGGGATCTGTGATCAGTGATTTCCGATGTTACAATTGTAACTGTTCTGGAGTGCCACAAACCACGCCCATAGAAGATAGTGAACTTAATCAATAAATGATATGTGTATTCCGACTGCTCCATCCACCAGCCTTTGCTCTCTCTCTCTCTCTCTCTCTCCTTGATCCTCACTATTCTGAGACACAACAATATTGAAATCCAGCCAATTAATAACCCTACGATGGCCTCAAAGTGTTAAAGTAAAAGGAAAAATCACACATCTCATTTTATATTAAAAGCTAAAAATGATTAAGCTTAGTGAGGAAGGCATGTTGAAAGCCAAAGATAGGTCAAAAGCTAGGCCACATATGCCAGTTACCCAGGTTGTAAATGCAAAGGAAAAGTTCTTAAAGGAAATTAAGGATGCTATTCCAATAAACACAGGAATAATAAGTGAAACAGCCTTATTGCTGAAATGAAAAGCTGTAATGGTCTGCATAGAAGATCAAACCAGTCACAAAACATTCCCTTAAGCCAAAGTCTAATCTGATTTTTTAATGTATTCGAAACAGCCTTCTAAAAGAAGAAGATGCCATCTAGGACGTTCATAGCTAAGAGAAGTCAATGCCTGGTTTCAAAGCTTCAAAGGACAGGCTGACTCTTGCATTAGGGGCTAATGTCACTGGTGACTCTAAGTTGAAGCCAATGCTCATTTACCGTTCTGAAATCCCTAGGGCCCACGGGACTGTGATAACTCTACTCTGCCTGTGCTCCATAAATAGAACAAAGCATGGATTAGCACATTTGTTTATAGCATGTTTACTGAATATTTTAAGTCCAGTGTTGAGACCAACTGCTCAGAAAAAGATTCCTGTCAAAATATTACTGTTCATTGACAAGGCACCTGGTCACCCAAGAACTCGGATAGAGATGCACAAAGAGATGATGTTGTTTTCATGCCTGCTAACACAACATTCATTCTGCAGCCCATGATCAAGGAATAATTGTCAACTTTCAAGTCTTATTATTTATGAAATACATTTCATAAGGCTATAGCTTCTCTGTAGATAGTGATTCCTCTGATGGATCTGGGCAGTTAATTGAAAACTTCTGAAAATGATTCACCATTCTAGATACTATTAAGAACATTTGTGATTCATGGGAGGAGGTCAACATATCAACATTAACAGGAATTTGGAAGAAGTTGATTCCAACCCTCATGGATGACTTTTGATGGGTTCAAGATTTTAGTGGAGGAAAGAACTTCAGATGTGATAGAAAGAGCAAGAGAACTAGAATTAGAAGTGAAGCCTGAAGATGAGAGTGAATTGCTATAATCTTATGATAAAACTTGAGGAGATGAGGAGTTGCTTTTTCTGGATGAGCAAAGAAAGTGATTTCTTAAGATGGAATCCACTCCTGGTGAAGATGTGGTGAACATTGCTGAAACTACAGCAAAGTATTTAGAATATCACATTAACTTAGTTGATAAAGCAGCAGCAAAATTTGAGACGATTAACTCCAATTTTGAAAGAAGTTCTACTGTGGGTAATAATGCCATTAAACAGCATTGCATGCTACAGAGCAATTTTTCCTGAAAGGAAGAGGCAATCCATGTGACAAACCGCATTGTTGCCTTATTCCAAGAAATTGCCACAGCCACCCCAACTTTGGGAAACCACCACCCTGATCAGTCAGCAGCCACCAGCATGAAGCAAGACCCACCAGCAGCAAAAAGATGTACCTGCTGAAGGCTCAGGTGAGTGTTAGCATTTTTTAGCAATATTTAGACAAGTTAACAGACTACAGTATAGTGTAAACTTAGGTTTTATATGCACTGAGAAGCCAAAAGTTCGTGACTTGCTTTATTGCGATGGTCTGGAACTGATTCCCAATATTTCTCAGGGCTCGTACTATATTATTATCTCTATTTTAAAATAAAATAAGGTACAGAGAGGTTAAGTAACTAAAGCAAGGTAGCAGAAATTCACTGGCAAAGTGAGGATTCAGATTTAGTCCTGTGTGAGTGCTTGGTTATGGGATGACTCAGTTGTCCCTTCCGTAATTAGTTATTTGGATAAATAGTGTATCCTCCACTAAACTAAAAACATCAGTAAGGGTAGGGAGCGTTTATATCTTGCTCAATGCTCTGTCCCTAGCACCCTGAATAGTGTCTAGCATATACCTGATGCTCCATAAATACGTGTTGAATATATGAATATTTACTACTCCCTTGAATAATTATTTTGAAACTGTACAGGGTTCGTATTTCCTATCTTAGCTGTTGGCCTGTCCATTCCCCAACACGCCTGGCGTTGCTCGGTGTTCCCTCGGCATCGCTTTCGGAGCACCGGCCCGGTGTACACGCAGAGCCTCCCCTCCTCAGGACTGTGGGCACCTCAGGGACATTCCTGCCTTCGGGCCTCACCTTCCATGTGGGGGAGGGGACTGTCCCAGCTTCCAAGCGTGGCCCAGGTGGGTCTCTGTTGTTTGAGCGTATGCAGCGGGCATACCGCTGCAGAGGCCACTCTGTCGCTTCTCCTCCTGCAAGCCCGAGGCTCAAGGGCACTTTTCCCGCCTCCGCCATGTCCGGCTTCACCACGCGCGCAGGCGGCTGGGACCTGCCAATCCGGCATCTAGCCAATCCGGCATCTAACCAATCAGGAAACGGAGAGCCCCAAGGCCCACCCTCCGCTTCAGCGGAAGTCAATGGGCAGGTTCCGGAGATTCCCGCCGAGGGCATCTCCAGGCCCCAGGGTCTTTCTTGACCTTGGGCACCGAGTAGAGATGGTCACTTCTATGTTGAAGGGTGATTGCGACCCTTATTAGTGGAAGTTGGTGTCACGCTTGCACAGTATTCGGACCCACACCTTCCCTCAGGCAGCCCATGCCAACTTCCGCAGTTCTGACTCGGAGAAGTTTCCCAAACTGGCTGCCTCCCTGTAAGCTACACACTGGAACTAGGCGGGTAGTCGAGGCTGCCCGGACACTGGCGTTTCCCTTCCTCATAGCGGCCTTTCAGAAGGCAGTGTCCCCGCTTCACCTCACACCCACCACAGCAAAGCCCCAGTGTCTCACGCCAATCGGGAAATATGGTTACTTCCTCACCGTCCGTCCTGCCGCCCCCTCGACGTACCCCGCCACCCGACAGTCAATTTTTCACCGAAAGAGAGGAGCAGATGGGTGGGGGCTGTCAGCAACAAAAGATGTGCCTACATCCAACAGCAGATGCAACGAACGACATTTCTGGGTGATTTATAGTCGGCAAAGCACTTACACATCTGTTATTTCCTTTATCCTCCTAACAAACTTGTGGTGAATTAAAGAAGCAAAACAGGGCTTATTATCCCCATCTAATAGATGGAGGCAAACTAAGGTCCAGTGGCCGGGTGCAGTGGCTGACGCATGTAATCCGAGCACTTTGGGAGGCCGAGGCGGGCAGATCGCCTGAGCTCAGGAGTTCAAGACCACTCTGGGCAACATGGTGAACCCCGTCTCTACTAAAATTTAAAAAAAAAAAAAAAAAAAGCCAGGCGTGGTGGCACACGCCTGTAATCCCAGCTACTCAGTAGGCTGAAGCACAAGAATTGCTTTAGCCCTGGAGGCAGAGGTTACAGTGACCCGAGATTGCACCACTGCACTCCAGGTTGGGCTACAGAGTAAGACTCCGTCTCAATAAAATAAAATAAAATAATCCAGAGAGTAGATGTGGATTGTCCAAGGTTACATAGCCAGTGAATGGTAAAGCCAGAGTAGAGCTGTGGACTCCACAATCTCCATGTGTCCACCTTATTTGCAAAGAATTTAGATATACATACAATCTATGTCAAGATAGAAGCAAAGTATACAGAGGGTAGAGGTTATACTAAGCAAATACATAAAATACAATTAAAATGCAAACAATGTTTAAAACTATGCATACCAAAGGGTATTCAATTCATAGACAATGGTTGGAGAGGTGGTAATTGATTCACTCTACAAAGTATCAAATATCTACAGCGTGCAAACAGTTATGCTAGTCACCCACAGGGACTACAGAAACTGATAAGGTGTATATCCAACCTTCTAGGACCACAGGATCTAATAAAGAAGACAAGCAAGGTGCAAATATACCCATGACGCCTGACAGTTAATGCCACAGGAAAGATACAAACCACGTGCTCTCAGGGTTCAAATGAAATAAAAATCTTCCCAATAGGGAGAGGCAGCAGCATTTGAGTTAGGACTTGAAGGGTGAAAACAGTTTCCCAAGGGAAGATGGAGGAAACTGTTGTTCCATGTGAAGAAGTTGAGGAGTAAAGTTGTGGAAATGAGGATACTGACATGACTAGCTAGAATGCCAAGTTGTTTTTTAAGGAACATGAGGCCACAAAGGTGAGTTGGGGCAAAAGAGCACTGAACAGCAGCTAGGGAATATGAGTTTTACTTGGTGAATGATGAGGAATGTGGAAAATTTGCATAGGAGAGTGGCACTTTCCTAGTGGTGGTCCAAGCAGGTTAATGTCTCAGAAGCCTATGGGACAAATTGAATAAAAGGCAAGGGGGGGTCGGTTACTTATCTTTCCAGCAGTCCAGTAAAGCTTACCGAAGGCGTCAGATTTCAGAAATTGCTTCTGAAGGTCCGTAAATGACACAGCAGTACTGCATTTAATATAGGAATAGATGGTTAAAAACTTGGTTTGAATCCCAGGTTTGTCACTTGCCAGCTGTGTGACTTTGCTGAAGTCAGTTAACCTCTCTGTAAAATAGGGTTATTAAACAACTACTTTACAGAGTCACTGAGAAGATAAAATAAGAACATATGTGGGAAAACACTTGGTGAATTACAAAGTGGTACATATGTTGGTGCTTTCTATTTCCAGGGTTAAAGTGACTTTCTGCGGGCTCTCTACGGGCAGGAAGGATGGGAATGGGAGCCTGACATTGGGTCTCAGAGGTACTCACCTTCCAGGTCCAGGGCTGTGGCTGCTGTCAGACACCCTTCGCAGGAGCAGATGGTGCTCACAGTTGGGACCCTGTCAGTGTCCAAGGACACCCAGGGCCCTGCTGGGCTCCCACCTGCAAGCTCCCTTCCTAGACAATGCACCTGTGCTCAAGCTTCTGGGGCCACCAGCCTCTGCCAAGAACAGATCATGTCTGCAAAGGGAGATGTAATAAAGTCACAGCTCCATGCACAGAGGCTCTTACAAACTTATAATATTAACAAATATGACTTGAGCACTCAGGAGGTCCCAGGTGCTATGCTAGGTGCTGAAAAGAGAGCAAAACAAACAGGGCTTCTGCTCTCTTGAAGCGCACAGTCTAGTAGAGGGCAGAACACTGAGCAAATTACCCACTACTGTTAATCGCTGTTGTGTTTTCTTTTTAAAAGGTAAACCTGTAATCTTTATTAAGGTACAATTTTATATAATAAAAAGCAAAGATCTCACATATCCAATTAGGTGAGTTTTGACATCTATATGCATTCATACAACCACCATCCAAAACAAAATATAGAACATTTTCAAAACCGCCAGATTCCCTTGTGAGTGCTTCCTTTCCATTACTCAAATCAGACCACCCTGCAAGGGCAACCACTGGTCAATTTATCACCACAGCTTAGCTTTCCTGTTCCAGGACTTTGTTTATATACATGAAATCACACAGAATATATTCTTTTATATCTACGTATTTCACTCAGTGTAATTTTGTTTTTTAGCTCCATCCATGTTGTTGCATGTACCAATAATTCGTTCCTTTTTAGTGCTAAATAGCATTCTATTGAATGACTACTTTACAGTTTGCTTTTTTTTTTTTAACCTTTTGGTGAACATTTGGGATGTTTTCTAGTTTTGTTTTTTTCTGTTACGAACATTTTTGTCCAAGCTTTTTTTTTTTTTTAAAGATATGTGTTGTCATTTATCTTCAATAAATACCTAGATGGCCCAGTGCAATGGCTCATGCCTATAATAGCAGCACTTTGGGAGGCTGAGGTGGGCAGATCACCTGAGGTCAGGAGTTCGAGACCAGCCTGGCCAAAGTGGTGAACCCCTGCCTCTACCAAAAATACAAAAATTAGCTGAGCGCACGCCTGTAATCCCAGCTACTCAGGAGGCTGAGACAGGAGAATTGCTCAAACCTGGGAGGCGGAGGTTGCAGTGAGCCAAGGTCGCACCATTGCACTCCAGCCTGGGCAACAGAGCAAAACTCCATCTCAAAAATAATAAATAAATAAATACCTAGAAATAGAATTCCTGGGTCTTAGAGAGATGTATGTTTAACTTTGTAAAAAACTGCCAAAGAGTTCCCCATAGTGATTGTACCACTTTGCACTCCCATCAGCAAAACATAAGAGTTCCAGTTGCTGACATGACCACATCCTTGCTGACATTTGCATTACCAAGTATTTAGTTTCAGCCATTCTGGTGGATATATAGTGGTTCCTCATTGGGATTTTAATTTACATTTCCCTGATGACAAATGATACTGGCTTGTTGGCCATTTGTATATGTTTTGTGTGAAGTGTCTGTTCAAATCATTGCCATTATTGCTTTGTAGGAGTTCTTTACATATTCTGATACCAGTCCTTTGTCAGATATACGGAATGAAAATATTTTCCCATTCCATTACTTGCCTCTTCATTTTCTTAACGTTTTTGTAAAGAGCAGATGTATGTAATTTTGATTAAGTGCATTTTAATTAATTTTTGGGTGTTTTTAACAGTGTTTTCTATGTCATAAGAAAACTTTGCTTACCCTAAAGTTGCACACATATCCTCCTACATTTTCTTCCCGAAACTTTATGGTTCTAACTTTTACAACTAAGCAGATGATCCTTCTTGCATTACAGTGTTTGTGTGAAGTGATGTAGGGATTAGGGATCATTCTTTTCCATATGAATGTAGAGCTAATGTTACATGGGGGCAGCCCTAAACTGATGACTAATGGAAAGTGTCATCTAAATACCAAGTTCCCTTACTGCTCAGGTGGCATAGCTCTGAGATGTATGCAATACCCTGTTTCCTAAGTTTCTTAGTGGAATTAAGTTCCACTTACCCATGATGCTAACTGGCTTGGTAATGATTCATTTTGGGCTAACTTCCCTACTCTGTCTCCTTCCCCTATCAGTGTTTTCCTCAGATTGCCTCTCAAATAAATTGTTTGCACCTGAGGGTCTGCTTGTCCCAGTGTCTGCTTCTGTGGAAATCCAAACCAAGACAGTAACAAACAAGAGAGACGGTCCCTACCCTCATGTATTTAGCTTTAGTATAGTTTCATACAGGAAGATGGTACAACCAGCATTCAGAGGAGGGAGAAGTCATTCTCACATGCAAAGTAGACCCTCCAATGCCTCGCTGACTAGCAGCAGCAGAACAACAGCAATTGTGGTCAGAACGAATAAATGACAGGTGACTATGAGTTACTACATCCCTGTCTTCTTTTTTTTTTTTTTTTTTTTTTTTT